CTGACAAAGCCAGTATTTGAAACAATAGAAGTCTAGAATGATTGAATATATAGAATATATCTTTACCTTGTACATGAATTTGACCAATAACAGTAGCGAAAATCCCCCTAATTTAGCAATATGACTTTGCCCATAGAGGATAGCAATACATGTTGTATGTTTATATAAATATTTAAAAAAGAAATGCCTTTACAAGCCTTATGGAGTGCCACATCTTTTTGTAAAGTTATGTATATTTTGTATATTTTATATAACAGTGCACTGTAACTTTACTTGTAAAGGCGTTAAGAAAGACTTGTGCCTTGTTATACAATTGAGAAATAAATGTCACCTACATGTATTTCACGACGGATGATATTGTAAATGTAATGAATTCTCTTAGAGCAATAAAAATGAAAAATAGAATTTTTAATATCTCAGTTATTGGCTTTGCCGCCATTAGCGGAAAAACCAGATTTTTTCTTCTGATTTTTTCTCTTCTTTTTTTGCTCTTGTTCTTTCCCAAATCCCATAGATTTTGTACACAAATTTTCTAGTTGCACAATTTAACATGAAATGCAATCAGATTGACTTCAAACTAGGCACAGACCAAGCTAAAGTGTACAATGACGTCACGATGATGTAATCATGGGCCATGTGACGTCATCTTAAAGGTGTGAAATTAAAAGTATTGTATCTAGAGAAATACAAGACCAATTGGGTTGAAACGCTGTATGTACATAGTCTGGTATGTGTTGTAAATGAAAATTATATATTTGGGTGACGTCATGATGACGTCGTGATTTTTTATTGATTTGTTTTCTTTTTTTTCAATCTTACTTGCATATCTTACGAACGGAAGACGCTAAATTCCATGTTCTTTTTGTAAGAAGTTTGGATATAAAGTCATAGATATATGCCATTTTTTTATAGAAACTTGTGACGTCATCATGACGTCATCAAAATGCGATCCAGAGTTGCAGAGTCGTAGCCAGCAAGGGGGGGGGGGAGGGGGTGGTAAGGGTGGTATTTAACCCCCCCCCCCCAATATATTGTAAAGACGGCCCTTTTCCCTTCATGTGCCCATTTTTCACCAGCGTTTAAATCCCTTCCCCAAATATTTTTAAAGAGTGCCTTTTTTATTTTAACAAGTGCCCCTGTTGACTCGCTGACCATCACCACTTTTGTGTTTTGTGTTTGGGGTTGGGATTTTGGGATTGTAGGATGTTGTTTGTCTGTTTCCCCTAATGCTTATTTTAAAAGGAAAATACGCGATGTAAGTAAGTGAACGTTTATAATGAGCGCCTCGGTCCACTTATTTTTTATGTGTCTTGAAGATGCACCCACGTATCGTAAAATAAACCGATTTCAAGTTGGCTTCCAAACCGAGGTTGTCGGCGCCAAGCCATGTAGGACACTGGGAACCTTTTCGTCAAGTTCAATCTGCGCCACAAAAGGGAGCGCAGGGCGACATCTCCCCCCCCCCCCAGTTTTTAAAGTGGGGGTATCATTGTCCCGACACTTTTTTGTCCACAAATAACAATTGTAGCCTATATTGATTCCAGATCCATAGCTCAGAATAGCTGATTTAATGACTCCAAACTCGAAAATGATGCTTAAATGATTATTTTTCGTTCAAAACAAATTGGTTAAAGTGGTCAGCTTTGCCTCAGATCGCACCACAGCGTCTAGAATTCAATTTTTTTGGGGGGCCCTTAAGCGGGCCCCGATCCCCACGCCGCATGCTGTAAGGGCTCTGCGCTTCGCGCTCTCATTCACTAGTTCAACATGATCAAGGTATTTCCCCTCCCACTTTTGAGAAGCGATTGACGCCCTTGGACGCTTTATTAACCTCGGCGCTTTCGATGGTGTCATTTAATAATAATAATAATAGTATTTATAAAGCGCTAATACTATCTATGTAACATATATTCAAATGCACTGTACAACAATAAAACAATAAACTGGGTATAAAAGCTAGTGTTGATTAAAATACATGAAAATCACCAGAAACATTAAAATAAGAATCAGGATCAGAAGTACATCGTTAAAAAATAAAGTATTACATACAAATTAAGTTCAATAAGAACGGGTTAAAACACGAGAACCATTAACCTTACCACAAATTCATTAAAAATACTTACTATAATAACCCGTTACAAATCAAAAGCGTTTTGGAAAAGATGCGTTTTCAGCAGCATCCTAAAATGGCTTAAGCCTGTAGCATTTCTGACATGAACTGGTAACTTATTCCACAGAGAAAGGGCAGCATTTTGAAAGGCCTGATCACCTAAGGAAGTTCTGCTACGAGTGGTTGGGTGTTTACAACACGTACCTCGATCATTGCATTATGTGTATTAGTAATTTACATTTTAAAACAAAAGCAGTTTCGATATCAAAATTATAATCCATCATTTATTCATCTGTAATTATATTACAAAATACGATGTAATTTTTACAGTTCCAAATTTTGAAGGAAAACATTGAAGATAAACCTAACTATTATCATTTGACAAAGCATGGTCAAAATTCAAAGTGCTGCTTTCGATACTGTGAATATTAACAAGATTGTTTGTATTCCCTTCAATGTGCCGCGTTCTTTCTTTAAGAAACACAGAATGTATAAAAATTTAAAAAAAGGAAACCCATATGTTAATGTCAATTATAAAAAAATGTAATAAAGAATTTCAAATACTTTTTCCAATGATATATTGCTTGTGTGTCTGTGGCCACGGATGACTGAGCATTCGTTGCTATTCTGTCAAGGGTCAAAACCTGCACTGTGCCAAGTTTGTGCAAAAGGTAACCGTTATTCTGGGCATGTTGAACAGCTTAAAGAAAGAAGACATCTTGTTTCTTTAGCACAATTTATTCCTTTTTGACACAGTGATTTAACCACTCTCTTTGTTGAAGTTAACCCCTCATGGCCCAATGCCTTCAAAGTGGCCACCACCTCTTTCTACATAAAGCCCTGCACGAAGTCAAGTCCATTTCAACCTTTGCATTAACAAACCAGCCAGCAATCTATTCTTAGCCAGGTAAAACTTGGCCCAGTACAGGTTTTGACACTTGACAGAATAATGACGCATGCTCAGTCATCCGTGGCCACAGACGCACAATCAATACATCGTTGGAAAGAGGACACATTGGCGTTTCACATGATCTTTAACTTATTTGAAAATATTTCAAAGATATTTTTATAATCTACATTTACATCTGGGTTTCCTTTTCTATTATTCACCCTGTATTATTCACTCTCAGCAAATCTACATTTATACAGATTGACCCTGTTCAATGTTCAGGGGTGCTTTAAAAGCGTGGTTACTATTTATTTCTTTACACGTTAATAAACTTCACACATTGCTTTAATAAGAACTTGACATTTGCCAATCACACAACACAATGATATCTTTTTCAAAGTTGTTATATAATTCTTAACGTTTTTGATTGCAATATTTTTCTTATTTAGCAAAGTATATAACAGTTGCGGATCCATGAATTTTTTACACACTCCTCTGCAATTAGTAAAAACAGAAACTTCTGCCTGGTTTTGCCAGCATAAAATACCACCCAAGTTCAAAGCATTCAGAATTTTACAGCAAGTATGTACATGCAGAAAACTCATATCAATCCTGAACAAAATTGAATACAAGTCATACTTGCAAAGATTAAAACAATTAAAACAAAAGCTACAAAACAATTCTGCAAGTTTTAAGTTCTGGTATTCTAAACTGAACTGGAAGATTGTAAACTTACTGGAAAAAGAACAAAATAATGAACATATAGAAGGTTCAGCTGCCCTTGATACATTAAGTACACTTTCTTTTTAGGTTTTAGGTTTTCGTTTGGTTTTAAGTTAAAACTATTTTAATAAAGATCGTCAAGCTACAAATAATTTGCTTGTTGACGTAAGGCACGTATAAACTCGCAAGATTGAGTTGTGCATGTAATAAAATATTGAAAATGTGAAATTTAAGAGAAATTTTAGTTACACAATTAATTTCCCAAGTATTCTTATAGTTCTCTGAGGCCTTTTGAAACCTTTACAAAAATAATGTTCAGTTAATTTGGCAGAGCACCTGAAAAGTATTCTGAAGGTGGCAGGTTGATGTCCACTATAAAGTTACTTTTTTTAACACTTAATATATCTATTTCTATCGGCATAATTGGAGTAATTTCGAAAAATATTAATATATTTAAGGCCAAAAAAAAATAAGTCGGTCTCTGGTCAGCGTGCGCGTCGATTTTAATCATGCGCGTCAACCTTTTTTTCTTCTTCAAATTGTCCGCGGTAGCTACAGCAGCGCCCTCTATTGCCGCACCTCAAGTTTTTGTACCAAGGAATGGGGAAATTGCACCAAGGCAAATGATGGAGGTCCCCAATGTATATGAGGACACAACAAAAGCAAAATAGTACCCACTTTGTCTGTACAATCCAAGCTTCCAAAAAAATAAAAGCCAAAAAAAAAAAAACCGCATCGCCGCATCAATTCCGGAACTTTGGTCTGACCAGAGACCGATTTTTTTTGGCCTAAATATCATTATTTCAGTATTGCGACTTATTTACAGATCAGTATACAAGTATAGTAATCCTGTTCATTCTAATGGACTTTTTTCAATATTTTTTTAAAGCTGTTGCTCTATTGCTGTTTTTGATCTTTTACAACGCCGTAAATTTCCGTTTGATAGGAAAAGGAATTAATAATATGCAAATCAAGGACAAACTAATAAAAAGAATAATACATTAACTTAAACCCCTTCTCCACTAACCCACTAATATGATCCAAACTTATTTGAGAAATGTAGTCTGGGGTTTATTTAAAGAAAACTTATAAATGTGCCCTACGTACAGCTTTACTATAAAGCACATATTATGACCAAGAAAAACATTCACATGATAATTACTGTTATTTTTATTAGCTTTATTTAGCCACAGATAACCCATTTAGCGATTTTTTTTTTCAAGGGGCCGGCCGTGTTAAGTACCAAAAATACAAATTACGAAATGGAAGTTCTTACGATAATTGAGTATTAAAATTACAATCTTGTCCACCTAAAAATACATGCATAAAAAAACTAAAGAAGAGGCTTTCCCTTTTGAGGCACTTGCGTTAATATGAAGGTGAACATGAACGGACAATTTCACACAATATGGAATGTATTTATGAAAAATTCACAGTCAGATTGCCCTGATATCCAGGTGGAACTGATACAAACTTGTTGCCATCTCCCTGGACGCTCGTATAGTGACGAGCCTCACAAGGATCTGATGGATGTTCTTTTGCTTTTTCGCCAACCCCCACAGCATGTTTTTCAGGTACGGATTTTTCCAACCCCCCTTTTCCTCTTTCTTGTGGAACTGAATCATTTTTATCAAATATTTTTCTCAATGATGAAAAAACATTAAAACCTCTCAAACAACAGCCAGTTTTGCGGCGATTCAAGTGCCGCTCAGGCTCCACAGAGCTCGCATCATTGCCAACTTCATCAGCAGTGCTGGAAGCACCAAGCAATGGTTCAGTTTCATCTCCTGCTCCAGGTGCATCTAAATCTTCAATCGGATTTTCTGGAGAGACATTGGCCCCAATGACATGATCTGTCATGCTGTTTTCAAACGGCAACTCTGTACAGTCATTCGTCTCATTTGCTCGACTAAACGACATGGTGCCCCGTTGGTGCAGTAACTTCTTTTAGTTGGTTACTTTAAAAAGTTGATCGTAACTAAATAAAATAAAAAAGAAATAGAGAATTTGCTCCTCCATAGGCTTCCAATAAATTTCCAAGTAGGTAAAGCATGATGAAATACTTTGCCGAAGAACACAAAACCTGTTTTCCTTCATAGAGGTCTTTGACATGCCGGCTGCGGCCTTGATGACACATGGGCGTATCAAAAATTGGACAGTAGAACAAAATTGAAATACCAATAGCCTTACTCATTGTGAACTTGAATAAATGCAAACATTTATTAGTGCACGTTGAGATCAATTTGCCCCACATGGTATATTTAATGCCGTATAAAGTGAACGTATAAACACTGCCTTATGGGGTACCGGAATACAAGGAATGCCCACCGACTTGCGGGATACCGTTTTGGTACCCAGCAAGTTTTCACGAAATAGATATACATGTATGGATTTTACTCAAAAGCTAGGAATTCCCAAGATGGGTTGATCCGTCTCAAATGGAAGAGTTTTAGAAAAGGGATATGAAGTCCGAATTTCAGTCCAAGAAATTAATTCTGGTTAAAATAGGCTAAGAGCATTTTGAAATTAGTGTGCGACATTGCAAAAGTTTAGTACACGAGAACAAAGGAAATATCCCACTTCTATGCCTGTGTAAGGGTGTGTGCTCTAGTATTGTATTACGATGAGGACAGACACACAAAGGGAGAACAAAAGATCCTTTCAGTCCTCGAACGACGGTGCTTTTGTTCGAAACTGTCCTCGTACGTTTACCTGCTTAGTCTATGGGAAAGTGTTAAAGTACAGGGACAAAGGGAAACACAATAGGTTGTCCTCAGGCGTATAGTAAAACACGACTGTGTGCACTCAAGTGGGGGTGGGGGGACTTGATACACTTTAAAATATTTCCATAATTATAGGAGTGCACCTGGTTCGGTTTGTTCCATATTTTTCATATAGGGGGCCTAAACTAATGAACAAAGTCACTCAAAAACATACTTTTCAAAAATACTTACCTTTAACACAGTACTTTGCACTTTGCCTCTTCTACGTGTAGATTTCTTGTTCTGAAAAACAATCCGCAGACTGCCTCTCCACGGTCGAGTCTATCGCCTTGAGGTGTGCCTAACTGTTAATTTATAGGAATAAAATCAGACAATTATTTGCTAACAGTTTTGCCTTTTCATAACACTTAATAAGGCCAAATACAAAAGTACCTTTGGTTCGGGTCACATGGATATAGGAAATTCAGACTGAGACCGTAATTGCCGTTTTACTGTAACGTTTCTTTAAATGCTGTCAGTCTTTTCAATATATGTACAATCGTGTAAAATTACATAAGGAATACAATATGTGGTATTAAGATACTATATGTACACATTGATTAAAATAATTACCAAATTAAACGACAACATTTGGGTGTAAGGTTTAAGCGAAACGTCTATGTGCCCTACCAATGCGGACAGACAAACATACAACCAAGGTACCGTAACATGGACATACCAACAAAACACAACACGAGACAGACAAGTTTGAGACAAGGCCTAATTATTACTTCATAAACAAACCACCTTAATTTATTAATATGAGTCGAGGAACAGAGCTCTGAAAATTTTCACAAAGACAAGGGTAGTGATTTAAGAGTATCTAAACTTTTCCAGTATGAGATGCCTCGATAAACATCACTATTTTTAGACAATGACGTTCTGTTAAATTAGACCAACAAATTTCTCCTATAGCGCTACGCCGAGTATATGAATCTCAGACGTCAATGTAAAACAAGAATTAAAACAGAATTAATTACACGAACCGCTCTTTTCGTATACTGAGTAATTTGTTACATTTAGATGACAAACTGCTCCAAGTCAAGATTGAGTATATGGTAAGATGAATGATTTATACAATGTAAAAAATTCTTGGATTTTTGTTGTTGCTAGTTTATCAATATGATTTTATCTGTGTGTATATGTTTCTTTGTAATGATGTACAATATTTATTATAGTGCTTTACAATCATGCAGTAGTCTCGTATGCTTTCATTTTCTTTCATAGTGATGTATTCAATTGTATTGTATTTGTAATGTATTGTATTTTTACATATGTGTATAATCATAATCATGCAGTAACCGTATGCTTTCATTTCATTTCATTGGGCTGTATGTATTTGTAATGCATTATATTTGTACATGTGTGTATAGTCATTAGTAGTGTATGCAGTGTATAATCATTGGTAGTGTATGCAGGGCAAAGAAATGTAATAAATAAATAAATAAATTAATACATTTTTTTCCACAAAAAAATTAACAAAAAACAACAACAAAAATTGTTTGTAACAATTGGAAAGATGTTTATGAAAGGTTTGTAAATGGAGGCAAAATATGTGCAGTATAATGTTATAGTCACGTGGTATTTATCACAAATCGCTATTGTTTAAGTCTAGGTTTAAAATTTAATCAAAAGTATGGTGTTCCATATTTGCTATCGGCGTCATATTTTTGGGAGCATGGGCGTCGCCAGGATTTTTTTCTAGAGGGGGGCAAAGCACATTCCCCCCCCCAAAAAAAATCCCTATAATTTCCAGCATTTTCCAGATTTATCATTTTTTCGAGGGTAGGCAGGGACATTTACCCCCCCCCCCCAACCAGTTCAATTAATAACAAAATTACTTCGCGCCTCTTTTTTTCTTCCCCCCCCCTTTTTTTTTTTGCTTGTCGGGGGGGGGGGGGGCAAGCGCCCCCTTGATTTCCCCCCCCCCCTCGCGACGCCCATGTTCGCATTTTTAAGCTCTGGCAGGAATCATTTTGATAAATTCTTGCAAGACGACCAGAGCTTATTGGGCACTCGCACTTGTTTATTTTTTGACAATTGGGAAATACTCCAGCTGTCAAACACCTATTTATCAGCCAACAAAGGCTTAGCTAATGAATACTTTGCCACGTTTAATGACGTACTTAAACTGTCAAATCTAGGGACATTTCCAGAAGGAATTTTCGTTAAGACAATCCACGACCTCTTCCTAAATTGTGTGCACATTGCGTGCAATTGTATGCACAAACTGAATTCAGGTTGTTACGAACCAAAGGAGGTTATACATATTAACGGGAGATCGCTAGCAAGGCTACTGCCGATGTTAACAAAGTTGTTAAATGCTTCTGTAATTTCCTTGTTATCGTTAATCTCGATACCATCCTGAAAAGGTGAGAGATGTCTACGTGTTGCTTGCGCTATGTACTTTAATATTCTTTTTACTCTGTAAGTTGTGTATCGATAGTTTTTCTTGACGATAGTTGTATCGGAGAAGACACGCCGGCAGTGAATACTAGGTCTCGGACGCGTGAGGCGCGCCGAGCTGATAGTGCTGCAGCTTGCCATTGGGCTACACCGGGTGGTATGGTGGACCAGTGCGGTGTGCCCGGTCGATCTAGATCTCGACTTCGTCGGCACCCTGGAACTTCAGGTGACTGGTCACTGGTCAGCAGCTCATTATGGACGAATTTCTCACAGAATCCCGATCAAGCATCAGATCCTCCAGGAACCCCTGAACGCCGTAAAAGACACCAACCTTCCCGAATTGTCCCATTTGTGTTGTTTAAATATTACTCTTAACGTTTATATATAACAAAATCTGAACGGTGGTTCGATTTATATTTAATTTCTGTACGATAGCCTGTAACGATTTCCGTAACCATAACATAGCGTCCTTTATTCAAAAATACATTATAAATTTTTTGTGTATATGTGTAATAGAGCCTGAAAGTTTACCCCTGGTGGCGCGCTTCCGGACCCATCGAATGGGAAAATTAGCGTGTAAAAGTCGGAGTTTTTGCCATTGTATTTTCACATTGATTTAATAAGAAAATCGCCCTTGGAAAAGTAAAGCCTTTGTATTTTTGTAAAATTGTTACTAGCAGACTAGTAATTGCGTGAGAACGCCAAATGTCATAACGACGATTTACCTATATATAGCCGCATGGCTTCAAAGGGCGGATCCAGAACACAAATTTTTTTTGGGGGGGGGACCAAAAAAATGTTTGGTCCCCCAAAAAATGTTTGGTCCCCAAAAAAGTGGGTCAAAAAAAATTACGGCGTGGGGTTCGGGGCCCGCTTAACTCGGTTGATCCATTCGGCTCCGCCTGCTAACAATGCTATTTGGGTGCCTATCATTTTGAAGATTCCAGATCAGCATTAGTCAATGTTATCTTGCAGAAATATCAACCTGTATTATCATAACTGTATAATATTACCAAGCAAGTGATTTGTTTACAAATTTGATCAGAACATTAGCAGCTATAAGTGATAAAACGCAATCGGAAACGAAGCCGAGCTTTTGAAAAGGGGTCGTCAATGTCGTTACATGTACATGTATGTTTATTTTTAGCCACGGAGGCCGACTGACCTCAACCTCGTCCCCAGGGTGTCAAGCAGTACGCGCCTACCACTACCTGCGCTAAGAAACGACGTTGGAAATAAAGTAAGTACTGGGGACGAGGTAGACCTGACCTACAATTTAGACGTGAGCGTCGGGATGGGAATTGTCAGATCTAGCGGAACCAGACTACGTACGGTGTAGCGTGAATATCCGACTCCATGAAATTATTATTATTATTATTATTATTTATTCGGCCAAATTACAAGGTACAACAAGCAATTCACAAAAGTAAACAAAAAACTAAACAAAAACAATCCAATCCAAGCTGGCCAGGATTGACAAAAGTATAATAAAACACTGTGACTCGAAAGCCTGTCAATCCTAACTTGAATGGTACATGTAACATACAAAATATATTAAAAATTAGGTATAAAATTCAATGAAAAATAAGACCGCCTTAAAAATAATACTTAAAAAGATAATTAGATTTAAAAGATTACAGTTACAACAGTTTTCTCAAAGGCAAGAATAGCTGGCATAAAAACCTAACAACTGCAGATTATACAAGACTGTGGAAAAACAGACAAACAAGCCAGAACAAAACTAACAAACAAACAAACACCCCAACAAACAAAGAAACAAAACAAGACAGGATAAGACTTAACAAAATGTAACAAAACAAGTCAAGACAAGAGACAAGACAAGAGACAAGACAAGACAAGACAAAACAAAACAAAACAAGACAAGACAAGACGAAACAAAACAAAAAACAAACGAACAAGACAAGACAAGACAACAACAACCACACTACAACATAAAAACACAGAACGAAAGATTGATACAGTAAACAAAATAATTTAAAATGAAATAAAAAATAAATAATAAGCAATAAAAACCTGATAGAGAAAAGTAAAAAATACAGTCGACATGCGAGAAAAAAATATATCCATCCAATGAACAAGAAAAGCAACAACAAAAGTATCAATAACAAAATAAATACGAGTAATAATAAATGATAAGCAACCGGAAAAATAGGCCTGAAAACCAACATTATTTCAGACATAAATAAATGAATAAATAAACTTAACCACAAAAGAGGAAAATAATAAAAAATAAAATAACAATGAAATAAAAGAATGATGGCAGTTTACAGTGGAAAAATATACACATGAAATTACTTTAAAAAGATTAAAGTAGATCAAAAGAGTTAAACACTTGGGGGGGGGGCCTATTTCCAGCTCAAGGTTTTAACACTCATAATAATGGGCGGATAATCGGGTGTTAAACAGTGTGAATGAATCAATTAATAGAGAGTCCCTTACATGCGATGGCAAACTACTCCAGATTCGGGGGAAGACATGACTAGGTGTGTTTTTCAGGGTTTGAGTTCTAGCATAGTGGTGACTAAATGTGAGACAATCCTGGTGACGAGTGTTCACTACTGTGTTGGCCTTCACTGATTGGCAGTCAACTAAGTTAAACAGGACTTTAACTGTGAAGGAAACTATGTGCTTCTGTCTACGTGAATCTAGAGTCATCCAATTCAAAGCATGCAATCTGTCTTCATATGACATTGCACCTTTGGGCTGTTTGAGGCACATTCTACTTGCCCTTCTCTGCACTCTCTCAAGTTTGGCTGCATTGGATGCTGTGTATGGGGACCAAGCTGGCAACCCGTATTCCAGCACGGGCAAAACAAGTGAACGATAGAGGGATGTCAAAGCCTTGGTCGAAGCACCACCCGCAATATGCCAGATAAAG